CTCCACATCGCAACGACAATGAGTCCCGCTGGCGCTCAAAGCAACACTGTTTCTTGTTCGGCAGCATGCCCCTGGGTCCCAATCAGGTGCCGCCGTCGCGATTGGCTGCGACGTAATGGTATCCAGCATATGTGGATCCTACGTGCCACAAAGTGTCTATTGCACACAGACAAGGAAGGGGAAACACATTAGTTTGCGCCGTCACCTACTGCGCAGTTGCCGTCTAACTGTACGTGTTCTTCTCTTGTGCGGAGATGCTCACTGACATAAATATTAGAATGAAATATGACGGCTAATAAGTTGAATTTCGTGTTACACAATCGTTACGCAAAGTTAATACCAGTGGTATTAAAGCCTAAAATTACCACGGTAAGTTATTACCGGGTATTAACGTGGTAGAAGTATAAAACAACACTAGTTTACCACTTGTAAGTGGCGGTTGTTCGTGGCCTTCCTGCCGACAAGAGTGCCAGGCCTCCCAGCCTAGAGCCAACGGCCTTTTGTAAAACAAAAAAAAGGCATCACTGAAGCAAAGATCGTATGGACAACATTATTTTCCAACAACACATCGCTGGCATCTAGTTATTTCGTTGCAACCAAGCGTCAGCGTCCTACAACATCACCCGGAGCAGGACCTGAATCAACGTATACCACGGAGGCGTTGATGCTCATTCTAAGCCGAGAGTTAGCATGTTGACGGTGGCCACAATGTATATACTTGTTAACGATAAGAAAAAAACAGCCACCGAAGCTATGGTCTTCGAAAGCATCCATAAATCGTTTGACCCTTTCAAAGTTTAGCCATCGTCATCACTTAGTCATCATCCGCATACAGAGACGACTTGGACAGCAGCACTGGCATCTGGAACGGCTGCCCAGCAGCAATTTTGCCTTCAATCTCCATTGCAGTCACTCGGAAGTTCAGCCACCTGACAAAAAGAGCAAACAAGAAGTTAGATCGACGCAAACACAACACATCAACCAAGACGTGACTCACTCTTTCACAGCCAGCACCGAGTACGGCAACAGGTTCTCTGGAACTTCATCCGAGGTCGAGTGCTTCCCAGCCAGTGACTCCAATTGACCCGACACTTCCGCGAGATCCAGTTGTGATAGCGTCTCGTTGTCCTTTCGCTCAGCTGTCTCGGCCGTGGCATTCTGGGTCAGCACTTCTATCCACTCACGCTGTTCCTCGAACGTCGGAGCACACAGAACAAACTTCTGGTAGCCGCTATCCACGGAGAAACAGTTGAAGAGCACCACGCGTGTTCCCTGAGAGTGATCCAGCTGGTTCGACATCTCCGAGACCACGCTACCAATGACGTTGATTTCGCGCTTGATGGGGCCGTGTTCCGTGTCCGCGTATCCTAGCTTGTTGTTCTGCAGCGAGAAGTACTTGTTTTTCCAAGTGTTCTTGTAGATAAAGCCCTGTTTCAGCAGCATTCCTTTCTTCTTCCACGTTGCCTTCATCGTCTGTTTACGTAGAAGGTTGCCGTTCTCGCTCTGATGGTCGATGTACTTCTTCGCAGCGATGTAGATCGACTCCAGCAGCCGGTTAAACTTCATCTGGATGTTGGAATCCATCTTAGGTTGCAGCGTTGGGTGCTTGACGTAGTCTTCCGAGATACTGCGTGTCTTGGTCTGGAAGCTGTCCCCACTCTTGTAGTCCGAAGTTGGTGTGCTATTACCACTACCAAAGCCGCGATTGTTGGGGGATGATATCGTCAACGACAAACTCGAGCCCGAATTACGCGGAGACGGCGATGGGGACGTACGAGGAGACGAGCGCGGTGACGATGAACTAAGTCGTTTATGTACCGAATCCATCAAGTTGCTCGCACTGTAAGATCGCGAGCGTCGGCCGCTGTCACTGGGCTCCTCAGTGCCAAGAGACGAGTTAAAGTCTGCCGCCACAGCATCGATTTGGCGACGGCTGTGTGGCGGCGTATTCACGAAAGAGGCTCCTTTTTGAGTCCACCCGTGGGGTTTCATGGCACGGAACGCAATCAGAGTCTGGAAGAAACTGCGTACTTCACGATGCCAGTGCAGGAACAGTCGGATGAAAGACCGCAGCAACTCGAAACGCAGTTTGTCTGCATGTCGCTCTGGGAAACAATCCCAGCAGTTGTACAAGAACTCCAGGGTTGTCAATACAACTTGCGTGTGCTCTGAATCCAATAGAATACGCAGAGCAGCGCATAGGAAGCGGAAGTCGAATGAAGGAGGCAGCAACGACACTTCATCTCCCGCTGGAATCGAGTACTGGTCGTCCTGATGGAAGTTCCAGCGGTCGTTGTTCTCTAGATGCGACAGTCGGTACGAGCTCAAACGAACGCGCCAACTTCGAATCATGTACATCCACACACCGAGCAGTTCCACGGCGCCGATGACCGCGGTCACATCGTGTACGCTCGTGCTGCTCAATAGGAACTTGGTCATGGGGTTGATCAAGCTCGGGTTGGACAACATCGTACACGACAGTTTGTACAGAGTGGGTGGGAGCCAGCCGGACTTCTGCGTCTTTAACTCTAAGAAGAACACCATCAGCACTTGAGTATATCCAGGCAAATGGATCCACCCGATCTTCTGGTTGAGGACAGCCAAAGTATCCAGCACATACCATAGCCATTGGTCCACAAGCAGAATGTTGAGGGTGTTCGCTTCACCGTTAAGCCGACGGAAACGTGATTTCCAGGCCTCAGAAGTCACTTCGTACTTGTCTTCGGCTTCTTCTTCCTGGTTTCGCAACGCCTTTTCTCCGTACTCATCAAAGATGGCTTTGTGAAACCGCCGCCAGTCAAGGTGGGCTTCCAATCCGTCCATGGCGAACAAATCAGCATCAGCATTCATTCTGAACTCAGCAGCAAGCTCCGGCACAGGTTCATTATAAGATTCGGACCACAACTGATACAGCTCCACGCCAAAACTTGGTAACCGGAAGCAAAGCACCGATAGCATTCGCGCCACGAAGAACATGAGATTGTTGTTCATGACACCACGGACAGAAACCGTCTGCAACACACAGAACTTGGTTTCAACGAGCATCGCCCGTAACTTCAAGCCAAACTCCAGGTCTTTCTTCGAGACTTTATGCGTATGCTTGGCACCCAACACGGTTGTTGATACAGTCGAGTCGAAACCCAGCAACGGCAAGTCACTCAATTCGGCGCGCTTCACTAAATAAAACAACAGTTCATAGAAAACATTTCGCAGCGTGTAGTGCCGGACGCGGATGTTCTCCAGCAGGAACTGCCACAGTCTCAAAAGGATATTCTTCGTTTCCTCCAGTGCTTCAGCAGATACATACACCCACGACAACATCGAGGCTTTGTGTGATACCTGCAGCATTTTCAATATCTTTGTGGCCTTCCGCACTTTGCCTTCTTTGTCATCTTTTTGTCGATTAGCCATTAGTTCCACCAGATCCTGCATCTTCTCCAACACACGTTGAGCTTCAACTGGGATCACCACCTTGGATTTGCGCAGATTTTTCTTTGAGCCTGCCGCGACAGCTCCCACAATCACCGAACTCGACGACGAAATACCATTCTCGCTATTTACACCACATCGCAGCTGTCGGACGTCGGGGATTCGCTTGAACAGAATCGTACCGTAAATCACTCCAACCTGGTGTCCCTTTAATGTGAGACTCTGTTCAAATTTGCTCGTGACAAACTGCTCAGAGAACCCAAGACCGTTCATGCCGCTGTTCGGATCAGCGTCGTATTTCTTTTTCATTCGCTCCTGAAGGGCATCTTCGAAAATCTTTTCCAAAGACAACCACGTTTGACCGAACAAAATTGTGTTCTTGATTTCCTCATCAAACTGAACGTCAATATTTGGTGTTGCCTAGAAAGTAAAATAACCAGAATGCCAAGATTAGTCCAACAACTTCAAGCAGCTATTTAGCGATCAGTAACATAGCACGCACCAACGTTTCATTCTTGTACTTTTCCAGCAAGCTCAAAAATCCCCCGTCTGGATCTGTAGACATTTGACCACGTCCAACTAACAGTTGACGCACCTACGATAACAACAGTGTGATAAAGTTGAGAACTACAACATAAACATGAAATATCATCGCTTTGTGAGTATCCAGTTTACCTCCAACGTCAGCGTCGCCGACATGAGTTCATCGAAAGTGCTGTATCGTGTAATGGGAGGCAGATAGTCAGAAGACGTTGCCCATTCCACAGCCATGGGGTCTTGGGCCACAAGAGAGTCAGCAACAACTTCGTCCTCCGCTCCCGTATCTCCCTTCGGTTGCGTATTTGGTCTAGAAACTCGAGACGATAATACCGCCAGCCTTGCTAGCGACTGGAAGCTCACTTCATGGATATCTCCAATATCTCGCTTGATCGCATGCTTCAGCTTGTTACCCATGTAGAACTTCTCGTTCGTTCCGATCGTGCACTTGTAGCTTACTCCAAACTTCTTCAGCGGCAACGACGCATCTTCCTGGAAATCATGTCCTTCCGGTCGGTCCAGCTCGTTCGCAATCTCAGGCATCATAACTCCCACGTCGCTAACAGAAATGTTCCACTCACTACACTGCTCCATGTAGCAGTTAAACACCACGCGTCCATTATCGCATCCAATCAAGTGGTGATCATGATGCACAGGTCCAGTCGCAATACTCCACAGGTCCACTTGAGTTTGACCAATCAAATGTTTCGCGTGAAATTTCCGATTCGAAAACACTTTGACCGACAAAATTCGCTTCTGCAGAGCATTAAGCGGTGCCTTGTACTCAAAGGCGATCAACACTCCTTTATAGTTCGGGTTTAAGTCCGCTTTGATCACAGGTGTGGCGTAAGGAGCTTTTTCCTCCGGGTCGTCCCAGTAAAACTCGACAAAAGGGTCACTCTTGCCGCTAAACCTTCGTCCCTGGAGATTGCGGCATTGAATACCGGAGATCCGGACGCGAAACAAACATTCTGCATCGCTCTTGTTATCCAGTGGGTCAAACAGCCTCTGTAGGAACTTTGGGCTGCGTCGAGACGCGTCCGGGCTGCCCGAATACACTTCTCCGAACTGGCGCGTGGCCTGTGAGAGCTGGTTGAGCTCCTCCAGACTGCGAATGGACAGCTGGTTCATCTCGTCCACTGTCATGTGTCGTGGCGAGCCGCTGAAGCTCGAGCGCTGGCTGGAGCGGGCGCTCGAGTGCGCGCTCATGAAAGTGCAGGAGTGATGGTCCTTGACTCTTGGCTTGAATAACGGTAATATGAGACGGAAATCACAGGGGAAAAAAGGCACCAGCACGAATACAAGACACAGCGTTAGCAACTGCAGGTGTAGCTAGAGGCCTATGACGCCCAGAGCGCGCAGATACCTGTCGAAGCGCGTCGTCGTCCCTCTCCGCACGCTAAAATGCCGACTGACTGCTCAGCTCAAGATTTTTCCCCTCCTCATGTATTGAATACAACATGCTTGATTAAAGGCTTCTGGTGTGCGCCACATAACTTGTTCATGTATGTTGAAGTTGGTATGTAAGAGTAATCATCACGAATAATCACGCGTTGTGACGTGTTATTGCCTTTTTGTTGCAACTATTTGTCACTTGCAAGCGCGGGCTTGGATATTGAGGCTGATGGGGGTGTCGTACACGACGAGGGTACTGGAGTCGTTGAAGAGCCCGAAGTCGTCGTGCCGCGTGAAGTCGCAGAAGCCAGCTTGACTGAGATAGGCGACCAGGATAGTCTCGTCGAACCCAACCTTGTGGAGGTCGTACTGGTCGATCTGTCCACCGTATATGACGTTCATAATCCACACGCGATGTTGGTGCGGTATGCTCTCATTAGTAAAAAGTGTGGCAAGAGCGAAAAGGTTAGGGACAGATACGAGAAGCTGCCCGCCAGGACGCAGGACGCGATGCCATTCACGCAACGTATGTTCGAGCTCGTGACCAAATCCATGTGTGCAGTGCTCTAGAACGTGTGATGAGTAGATTGTATCGACGGAGTTGTCTCGGAACGCGTACAGATTGGAAATGTACATGACAAAGTCTACGATATCTCCGTCGTTGGCATCGACGATCCACCAGTCCGGACTTTTAATGTGGCCACCGATGTGAAGTCGAATCGGTTGTTGAGTATCTAATGCATTTTGAACACGCACGATGTATTCGTCTTCGGCGTTGCTGTCTTCTTTTGCTGACAGAACAGGAAAACTGCGTGGCATCACAGTTGAAGACTGGATAGATGGGAAGATGTGCATTTCTCGCGTCGGTTTACCAGTTAGTAGTCTCGATTTTTTCACCTGCCACGCAACTTTGATTGCCTCCTCGAACTTGGTTGCATACTTGGCTGTATCGAAAAGAGGATAGTGCAAGCGGTTGTCTTCCACATTCTTGCGAAGCTTTTGGAGCACGTGCTTGTGGGTAGCAAGATAGACTGCAACTTCGACATATTCTTTGAACGAGTTTACCGTCAAGTCGTGTAAATCCAGTGCGTTCAAGGCAGAGCTAGAGGCTCGATTGTGCATCTGATCTCCTTCCAAAGTGATCACAGGCACACCAGCACACAGCGCGTCGAGGATGGTAGTGTGGCCATTTTTCAAAGGGGTATCGAGAATAAGGTCAGCGATTCGCTTTCGGTAAGTGTGGTCAATCCACGAATCGAGCGACGAAAAAATAAGTCTGTTGTCGTTAATACCGTGCGCTTCCGCTTCATTCCGAAGATTCGTGATCGCTCCTTCGTGGCCGAAATATTCCTGAAACCACATCACACTGGACGGAACACGAGCCAAAATCTCCATCCACGCACTGAAAACGGAAGGGTCCATTTTCTGGTATTTGTTGGTTCAGATACAACGTTAGATAGCCCTCAAAATACTATGTATGAATGATTGTACATTAACCAGGCGCATGTACTGTACCTGCCAATTGCTGAATGTGGCGAAAACGAAGGTATTGTCGTCTAAATCAAAGTATGGTGAAAGCCTCGGTCGCTTGCCTTCTAGTGTGTGACCCAGCATTTGAAGGTGATCATTGACAATGTAGTGCATCGGTAGTAGAAGAAGCTTCTCGGAGAAACTCCCTCCACTCGTCTCAGCTGGAGTCGCTACACCGTCACTCACAACAAAATCGATAGAAGGGTATCCGGTCGTCATCGGATACCCGAGATACGCTACTTGAAGGGGGGCGGGACGATGAGTGAAAATGCTAATCCCGGAGTGCAGTGTGTGTCCATTTAAGTCCACAAGCACGTGGATTTCGTGCGACTGAATAATTTTCGCTGCGTCGAGAGAATTTTTACCCTTCAGCGATATCATGAAGTCTACTGTGCGCGAGATATTTCTGCTCCACCATGACGACGCGTCTAATAGTGAAAAACAGTACACTTTCGTTTGATGATCCGAGCTCGACAGCAAGGCTAGTAAACCACGTAGCAGCGACGATACAGGATGTACACCGAAATCCGACGACACGAAACCAATTCGCAATTCTGGAGCTTGTAGTCTCAGATTGATGCGTTCATCGCAGCAAAGCCGCTCTGTCGATGTCTCTAGTTCCTCATATACACGTCGACGAAGCTCCACCATCGTCTTTGGTGGGAGTTCCACAACATCATACGCATTTAAATCAGGCAGTTGTCCCAATTTCAGCCCCTCTTCCAACATTTCCTTAACCTGAGTCAGCGAGCCATCTCTGTCTTCCCAATCCGCCATCCAGTTCCTCGCCTTAACGAGAGCGTTTAAGCCTTTGGTCGACCCTTTCTGCATCACCCCCACTTCCAATGCAGCTACCGCTTCAGGTAACCTCTTCTGACAAAGATAACAAGTCCCTAAATGTACCCAACTCTGAGCGTCATTCTCATTGACTTTGACGGCTAACTCAAATGTCTTTGTCGCCTCCTCCAGATCCCCAAGAGAGTACTGAGCCACCCCAAGGTACTGGAACACACTCGGGAAACTCAGATCCTGCAGTACTACACATGCAGTTGAAATTACTAATATAACGATACAATTCTTCAATTTGGCTATTACCTTTCGAGTTATTCTGCTGCACGACTTGCTCTGCGATCTCCTTCAGCTGCACCATGTCTCCCTTGGTGTACAGAGTTCTTAACACCTGGTTCACCTGCAACGCCGAAGATGTGCGCAGGTTCAGATCTAAGCTCTCCGCTCTGCAAAACCGCGCCACGCAGCCCAACCATACCACAGCCAGCACAATGTCTCTCCACCGCATCGTATCTTCCTAAATGCTTGTCAATACAATACTACCGTCCAAGATCTCAATATCTGTACCACCAACTGTAATTAGCGTTACAGATTGATTTACTAACGTCACAGGTTAGGTACAAATTATGTGGAAATGAGGATGCTTCACAGTTGGATCCAATAGAGAACGAAGGCACCGACGCCTAAAGAAGAACCCAAGGCACTTGCAGACTTGCAGTCTAGAGCTCACACGTGGACGGACACCACGTGGAGCCATGCCTCACATCGCCGTCGACTCACCAGGTAGGCAGCCAATGCAGTAACTACAGTAACCAGTGCTCTCTAGTCACTCGTAGCCTGTCAGAGCACCGGCAACCGTTAGGTTCAACAAGGGCATTCACTCCTCATCTAACTAACTTTTTCTTATTACTTTTGCTATAACTTTTCTATAACTTATAAAGAAATTGGAGCGAGCCGAACTGACCACGATAAATCTGCTACGCGTTCTGTGTCGCATGCGAGTTCTTTGGACGAGGACGTTGAAGTGGAGCTGTTGGACTCGGTATCCAAGATCGACTGTGCCTTAGCAGAGAGTAGCAATAACATAGAAGTGGAGAGCGAAGTGGAGCAGTTGCGACGCACCAATGAGCAGCTACGTAGCGAAGTAGCGGATCTTACAAGTGCGTTGCTTGCACGAGACCTGGAGCTCGTTAGATTAAGGGATCGCTGCCAGTTTCTTACCACGGCGGTGGAGCAGCAGGATGACGTTATCGCAAAGATTTACGCCACCACTACAGCAGCAAATGGTATGGGTAAAGAGTCGATGGTGACGGCATTACCCGTCCTGACAACTGGGAGTACTTTTGGGTGTGATCTGATTAAAGAAAACATCAAGTATAACTCGAAACAGAATGAAAAGAGGATGTTCTTGAGCTCTATGAAGAGCTACCCCGGAGCTGTGGGTATGGCAGACCCTCTGGACGACACGCTGTTCGGTTCCAAGGACGATAGCGTTGAAAACAAGGAGGATTCAAGTAAATTCAGCGAGGATGTAGTGAAAATTGATCTGGACGAACTCCCATACGCACCTCGAGCACCTAAGAATTCGAATAACCACAGTGCAACAGCCAGTGTCTATAGCTCGAGCAGCACCACTACTGCATCGTCGTCCTCGTCACTTTTTGGAGATATTGGCGAACCAGTGTCGAAGCCTCCACGGTCGTGGAGTTCTCCTATTGTCAAACGGCGACCTTCGCTTGAGCGCCAAGACAGCAGCCCTACAGAGGAGGTGTTCGCGAGATCAGCAGGCTTTCTTCGCAAGTCCAACCGCACCATGTCCGGGCGCTTGAGTGTGAGCGACCTTGGACTCCTCAACGACGACGATGATGTCGAAAGTAACCAGACGCAAGAAGCAGCGCCTTTGGGTACTCACGAACAGCTTAAAGGGGAGGAAAATTCACTCGATTATGGGGATAGTAGATCGTCGGGATTATCAACAAGAAGCCGAAGCCAGCGTCACCTTTTTGAAGGTGTCGACGAAGCTCTGAAAGCAAAGATGAAGCAGAAAAAATCGGACGGAAACCCAGCTGATGGAGATGAAGACACTTTGACGTACGGCGAGTTCCTGCAGCGAATCAGTCTGCCTGCTTCCCGAGACATTTTGGACAAAATTCGTATGTTTGTTGGCTCCATCTTAGGGCCTCGCGGTGACGGACGACCCCCGCGGTCAACAGACTATGTTGAGTACGATTTCTATGGAAAACACGAGTTCAGGCGTCGATGTATCCGATTTTTTGAGAGCATGGAGGACATTCTACTGAACCATCCGGCCTGGCGTCATGTCTCTGAGGCTAAACTGGCTAAGGCACGCGATGGTATTGAAAAATACGTCATGGACAAAGTATCAGACATCGCATTCAATAAGCTGAAGGAGTGCCAGCAGTGGATGAACGAGGATGAAGCTCTGTTGCGACGCATGCAGCTGTTATCGGTACGTTATGCTGGTACAGTTTTAGTTGTGAAGCTCTAACATGTATTATTGCACAGTTCATAACGCCAGAGATGCTAGATATCAAGCCGTGCATGCGCAACGAGGTTGTCTGGTCGATGGCTGAAGACGAATTACGACGTATCAACTCGTTTCGGTCGCCAGGGGACAAAATCAATTGCATTGTTCGGTGCTGCAGCGTCATTTTCAGTGTTCTCAATCTGTCACGAGGAGACTCCGGTAGTCGTCCAGGTGCTGATGACTTCCTGCCGGTTTTTATCTACATCGTGCTGCACTCGCAGATCCCTCGACTGTATTCCAACTGCGAGTACATTTCAGCGTACCGGAACCAAGCCGACTTGATGTCGAAGTGAGGATGCACACAAGTGGATGATTCCGTTTTTTTATGCTCATTTTTTCCCGGTGCGTTACAGGGCTGGATACTGCTTCGTGAACTTGCGTAGTGCTGTTGAGTTCATTACGGCGATGGATGGATCTATGTTGTCCATCTCGGACGACGAGTTCCAAAGGTAGGAAGTTTAATTTTGAGTTTTCATTGGGGTATATACTGACGCTGTCATGATAGACTTTACGCTGAACGAGAAAAATTGCTACTGAAGTCTTAAGCAGTGTGTGATGTTACATTAGATTTTTTTTCTTTCGTAGCCACTTTACTTTTGTACGGAGTGTTGTTAACACTACATCTTAAATTTGGGTGAGTGCAGACAAATTTCGTCTTACGACACAGTTTTGTGCCACAAGTTTTAGCCAATCAGAACTCCAGATTGTTTTTTAGCTCTCTTACAAACTTCTAAACAAAAAGCGCAGGGAACTGTTCACCCCCCCCCCCCCCAAATGAGGACATTTTCAAAGCGGAGCCATCTGTGCCCCGAATCATGCAGCAATGACAGTGTTTTGAGCATCAAATTGTCCGAAGAGAGCGCTTTTATGAGTGATTTTATCGCTGAAAAATTAATGTCTCTGTGAAAAGTTATGTTGATACAAATATAAGATTTTTAAAAGTGGTACGTTACTGGCACACTATCTTAATATATTCATTAAATAAATGGAGCATAAAGTCTACAAAAACTGATATCTGGGATCGTGGGTCAGTATTCTGCGCTACATGAAGCATTCTTTCCTCTCTGAAATTTAGTTTAAAATAAAAGTGCTATTCTGTGAATTCACAATTTTGAAAATACCAGCGAAAAGGAAATATAAATCAGAGTACATGTATCTTCAGCGTTTAGCCTTATTTTCAGGTTTTAAGGAGGCGTTTAAGACCTCCAATGTTACAATAAGTTTGTGTGGAGAAGGGTAGCTCCCACAAGGAGGATCTTACTACGTAGAGTCTAAGTAAAAAAAAAAATGTAAAATGCAAGTCCGTGCTCTATTACTGTCTCCTAACCTTGCCATACACCACTCACAATTCATTACCATTCTCACCACCATTCTCAGCGGCGTTTCTAACGAAAGCCTGCAACCGCCCTGCGTCATTCCTGCTATTTTCAGTGAGTTCAGTGGATCGATGGTTTTTACTCCGGCGCTGCGACGTAGTACTCTTCAACTACGAACAGCTAGAAAGTCTCAGCCCCAACCCATATGGGCCGATTTCTCATGATTGTTGAGATCAATAGCAGCGTTTCAAACGATGTCTCCTTTCAAAAGCGAAACCAAGTCCAAACGATTGAGTTTGGAGTAGTATTTCAAAAGCACAATGCAAAATAATAGACCCTTGTTAAGTTAAACCATGTTTAGATCCTTCCGGTGGAAGCGATATCTCTCTGTCGAGTCCTACACGCACAACTATTACGGTATAGTGTGTCAAAAAAATTCCCTACGTCTCATAAAGATCGACATGGTGCTCTTTCAAGAATTGCTGAGTGGCTTACGATACACCTGTTCAAACTGATCGCACTGCGCAGTATCGATCTTGCCAAGGAGATTACTTGGTCTCAAGTGAAGGGGATTCGCTATTGACCCACCCGACGACGCGCTGCTCGAGCCTGCTGGTAAACAAGCCCCGACTTGCGAACCACACCAGCTCTGCGAGCAAGTCGGCGAATCGACGCTCTTGAGATTCCTTGTATCGAGTGTCCCGCGAGATGTAGCGTTGATCCACCGGTACCCAAGCCTTTAGCTCCTTTGCCGCGTCCTGACATCTTGTACGTTGCGACGGTGGCGTTGACTCTCCACTGTGGAAACTCGGGAGGAGATATTACGTTGGTGGTCGAGCCATCGTTCAGCTCTAGCGCGTTGAAGAGACGTTTCAAATGCTTGAATGCAGAGTTTGTCGGCGTCGTCGGCTAGTTTGCGAGCTTGTATGAATTTCTCCCATCTTTTTTTCAGCTGCTTCTCTGCTTCCTGCACAGCATTGTTCTCAGCACCGTTACATTGTCGAGTCGAGTCGAGTATCTCGAAAGCTGCTATGTTTCGGAGATATGCTTCATTCTCGGCTTCAATAGCGTTTCGACGAATGTGATACTCAGGTAAGTCATCCATTCTTGTGTACCGCACCGTTACCGCCAACAGATACTCCGATTGTGAGAAGCTTTATGTACTCGGTTCTGCTGGTCGGATTCTCTCACTTGCTCCTCATGAGTGATTGATGACCAGGGCATGTCAGGCAGGTTTCAAAAGCTGCTGCCTTACCAGTTCAATGACGACATGGATCGATAGTGGGATTTTTAGGAATTAATTGCAATTAATATCCATTGCACGCAACTAGTTAAAAATTAATGGCAGTGCTGTCGTGGTGACAGTCGAGTAATAAGGCAGTTCTCGTTTTGCTTCGAGGCGGAAAACCGCTACAGAGCATTGAGCACAGTGAATCGAGTCTCATCAAGATCTATGTTTATCAGAAGCTTTAATTTGAATTGAGCTAGTGTTTTACTCGTACGGTAACATCAATGAACTTGTAATTACGTTGTGCTTGGGTAAGATGCGAAACATTCGTCGAATATCGGCGGCTGGCAGTGAATGTATCTCGAGTTGTTGTTACCACCACGGGCGATAATCAAGCAGTTCGTGAAGAGGATACCGAGTTTGTAAAGCGTAGCCGTTGGTGTGGTTGCTACTCGCTGATGCCGCTTATAGTCTAGAAAGGAAAAAGCTTGGTCACTTCAGCATAGGACCATTGGCGGACAATAAGCCAGCTTATTATTTAATAACTGTCACCTTTTTGCATTGAGTTATCTCATTTCTTCCGACGCTTGCGTGTTGTTCCTGCCTTAAACTGCGTAGGTTGTTTGTCAATCTGTTACTAGATACAAATAAAATATTCGAACAGTCCTGGGAGGCTGTGGTGAGCTCCAATCTGCTGACTGTGATAATTAAGCGTGAGTGCGCACATTCTGGCAACGCTGTCTGTGCGTCTAAATCTCTTCGCGAAGTTGTTGGATGTTGTAATCGAGGAGAATAGTCAATACTTTTTGCTGCTTTAAGAAATAGCGCTTCTGAAATTCTCGGAGCTGCTTTGATTTGTTATCAAGCTCTTGGAACTCCTCGATCGCTGCTTGCTCGCGTTCATTTGCATAACTAGGGTAAACGAGTTATGTGCTGCGTTAATCACGCAAGCATATTTAAATTATGCCGGCGTGACTAGCGTATTATGCTCACGTGACTAGTGTATTATGCCGGCGTGAGTAATGTATTTGCGGCGTGACTATCGCGGAACACAAATCGTCTATTAACACCCATTGCTAAATGGTGTATATATATCACACTTGGTATTGTGCTTTATACTCGTAAAACGATCAAAACTAGAAATAATAAGGTTGGAATTACACCCCACCATAACATTAACCTCTGTATGAAACTTCATCATAATTTGAGACGGCGTCAAACGAACTGATCCTTACGAACCATTTGGAGTTATCGAGAAAAACGGCTTTAAAGATTGGCGAGTGAAATTCGGACTTAAATGAAGTTTTGCAAAAAGAGGCTTTTCCCACACATACCCATTTTTTCTCGAGGTGTATCGAAAGCGATCTTGTACTCAACCGAACAATGGACATGCGTCCGGCCACCTCCTCCACTCCGGCACCACCCACCAGCAGTCATACAAGCCCTAGTGTGTCGTCCGAGCAGGGCGTTGCCCTTTCTGGTGAAAGAAGGCTGCTTGGGTTGCTGAGACCGGATCCGGAAGGCCACAATGACATAGAATTTCCTGCGCTCGACATCAAACATGACCGCCCAGGAGAAGAAGCAGAGCGTTCTGACTTCGTTGGCGATGCTAATGAAGCAGTTCGGGGAACTGGGGAAAGACACGTCCTCGAGAACGACCTGGATGTACGTGAACCCCGCCCTTCGACGTTTCGAAAGCTCCTGCAGCAGTATTGTCCGACTATTCGGATCAGGTCTCCTCGTAGCAACGTTTGTGACTTGTGTGCTATCCTGCACACACGCATGCGGTCGTGTATCACAGCGGAGCTTACTAAGGACCTAGGCGTCCACACTGAAGCCGCGAAGAAGATGAGGTAGGGATGCAAGAATCATTTTGTTTGAGATGGGACGCAAAGATCATTTTGTTTAACTGCGAACTTTTTTTTAGGCTGGAGTACAAGAAGGACCTGGCATTCGTGTCGGAGGATCACGCAGTGATCGTCATGGATTTCAGTCAAAACCTGACCCTTCCCAGCGTCGCCAGTACGCCGTCTCAGTGGTATTTCTTGTCTCTTGTGAACGTTCACGTCTTTGGAATCTACTACGCTAACAAGGGACAACAGTACAACTACGTCTACGAAGAATCGGTTGCTGGGAAAGGAACGGACGAGGTCAACAGCATGCTGTATCACTTCATCCAGCGGATCGTGCTGACGAACGGCCATCGAAAACTCGCTATCTACGCTGACAATTGCGGTGGTCAAAACAAGAATAACTTCGTTGTTAAGATGCTGCTGGCTTTAGCTCAAACTGGAGAACTTGATGTCGTTGAGCTCAAGTTTTTCGTGAAGGGCCACACCAAGAACGCTGTTGACCGTGGCTTCGGCCTTATGGGGAAGAAGATTGCTAAGGAGGACGTGTGGACGGCTGATCAACTGCTCGAGGTTATCAACGACTCCTCGTCTAGCTCGGCCCTTGTCCATATTCCGAAAGAGAACACGATGATGAAGGTGTTCCGAAAGCCCGTCAAAGAGGCTTACAAGGATCTGGGGGTGCAGCGCTACCAGATCTTCACAATGAGCGAGAAGAAGCCAGGGGTTGTCAGCTGCCGTGTTGGTCCTGCAAACCAGCCCGTGGGCTAAGACCTTCGACGGTCTTTTGACGGCATACAGACGAACGCTGCAAAAGTACGGAGTCTACTAGCTGCG